GACCGAGTTCTCAATTACTCGATCCAGTTCTCGACGATTCATTATGTCGAAATCATTTTGTCCCGGTATTGGATCGGAAAGTCCCGTTCCGGTGACGACTTGGCCGAGTATTTGAACCATGCCTGCAATTCGATTTCCAGGCTGCTGGGGCAGTAGAGGATCGATTGTTCCCGGCCTTTGCTTCGGCATCTGCTGGGGTGGTCTGGCGGTTGTCTGACAGACTTCCCCCATTTCTTTACTTTGCAAGTTTCTTTCTGGGTCATCATCGAAGGTAGGAGAAGGCAGGCATTTCCCACAGAAAGCTTACCTTGCAGACTTGCAACAATTTTTGTCCAGGTATTCTTATTAGAAGGCCAAAATAAAATATGTGAATTCCCAACTGCAATTAGGCATTAGCAGGGTTCAACAGCCAACCATAAATTCCTTCTTTACCGAGCTTGCAACATTTCCCCATTAGTGGCTAGTTTTTGGCAAGTGAAAAAAGTGGAAATTTTGGCAAATATACTTACAAGATTGTAAGCATTATCAAGTTACTGGTCATTTCCCAGGCTGTCTGCTGGGAAAATCAACAGCATAGTGAACTCTGGAGATGTTAGCTAACTGTTGTAGGAAATTTAGACAAGCATTAGTAGCTATATAGTTAGGTATGCATCATTGGTTAATGAACCTGTAACAGAGATAATATCCCACCTAAATAGTAGCAAGCATTTTGACTCACTAATGGGGATTTTAGATGCTAGTAAAATCCATCAGTATGTTCAAAAAGTCTACAATCTATTCTCTAAAAGATGACAGAAGAACACTTTCTGAGATTCTTTTAGAAAATGACGAATCAGTATAGAAACAGCTGTATTTGCCGGCAAATGCAAACTGTTTCATAATGCTGAAGATTTTTGCTCTTCAGTTTCAGAAACTTCTTTTGTTTGTTTGATTTTTCCTGAAGAAAGTTTTGATACCAGACATGACGAGAATCTCTACAAAAGATGCATATCTCCATGTTGCATTCTGTGACCGCTTCTGTTCAGTAGGGATTTAGATTTCAGTCCATGCAGTTGCTGAGTCCAATTTCTCAGAAAAAGAAAGAAAAAGTTCTTGAATTGCTCACATGAGCAGGGGAGGCAAAATGAAAAAGTATACCAAACATGAGAAAATCAAAGCTTGTGGTCAAAACATCTGAGTTTAGCTAATATTACGGATATTTTGACCTGGCTTAAACAATCAAGCTTTGGATGACCAAAGGTAATCAATTCAATCGGCAACAAAAGAAGTACAATCAATGTCTTGCAGTGTTAGTCTACCCATATATAACTCGCTTATATGTTCAGAGCAAAGGGGAATGCATTTCCTATTCAGACTATCATGAATTGAGCCAATCCCTGAATGACAATTTTTTCCATCCATTGCTCTCTCGTTGAGATGGTTTTGCAATAACCGAATCCGGTAGACAGTTGTCTCTGTTCTATCACAGAAATGAGCCACACAACGGTACGGAGGCTCATCAGAAGCCAGTTTAATCAAAGCTGTTGTCAAGGGGCCGTCCACAGGCCAAGGATCCGAGAGATTCTTATCTCCCATCATCTTCACCTCTCTTTCTGTAGGGAAATGAATTTCTTCAGCTCCATCAAGGTCAGACACTTTCAGATCCTTAGTGTAATGCCTCATAGCTTCACGTTTAGTAGATTCATGCTTCTCTGCTAAGGTCAAGATACATGAGAACCTCAGATGGTAAGTTACAACAGTTTTTAGCATCTTGAAGTTGTGACAGCAGCAAAAGAAATCAAGCCATCTTCTTCCAATGCCAGCATACCACTTGATGATATCAGTATCTTGAAGAACCATGAGTAAGCTAATTGGCCTAGGACGACCCATATGATTGGTAAAACCAGCCATCTTAACAGCTTTCCTAATCAGTTCTATGGGTGCATCAACTTTAACCCGTAGCGTTGTCAAATCCTTGATAGTTCTTTCAGCATATTTTTGTTCCTCTTCTTCCTCTGCTCTCCTTTCTTCTTCCTCCAATGCTTTCTTCGCTTTCACTGGCTTCAAATACTTGTCGACCTGCTCCTGAAAGTTGTCATAAGCATCCACAAGTTCTTGGGGCAATTGGTCTCTAATCCTTTTCAAGGAGAGGAAATCACCAGCTGACAGCATACGGTGCCATTCCCATCTTTCATCCACAGATTGCAGATACTCTTGCACCACTTCGTCTGCCCAAGTTCTAAAAATCTGGTTTACTTCATTCTCGATCTGAAACTCGAATTTGAACCCATCACTATGTTTTAACTTCTTGTACACATGGCTCATTATTTTCATCCCCAACTTTTTCCTATTTCTCTCTTTAGCATTTCTCAATTCCAAAAGTCTCACTTCTTTCTGCCTGAGGTACTTCTTTCGTGCCCTAATGGCCTTTTCTGATGGAGCTGGATGCAAAACTGAAGGCGTGACAGCCTGAAGTTCCATCCCCAAAAAATCAATCTTCTCAGAAACCGCGCTATGAATAACCGTTCTCCCTCTATCAACCTGCAACCCCAAATGCTCCTCCAAATACTTAATAAACCTACTCTTCAAATCCATAGTCAACATTTTTGTCCCCGATGTGATCACCAATATCTCATCCAGATACCTAACGACATAAATCTTCAACGGCTTATAATGAAGGCTGTCAGCTGATCCAGCGACAAGCTCATTAGCCTCAAATTTCGGATTCTCCTTTTTCGTTTTAAGCCGTAATTCTTGAATTTCCTTATCAAAACTATTAAAGTAAATGTTGATCAAAATGCAACTCAATCCACATTCCTGAGGAAACCCTCTACCTAAATAACAACTTCCTAACTCGATCCTAACCACCTTCAATTTAAACAACGTCTTAATCATATCAACCAAATACTCGTCCTTAATTTTCTCCCCTATAATCAGACACAACTTATCAACATGTTTTGCATCAAACATTTCGTTGCTATTAAACGAAACAGTAAACCACCAAGAGGGATTCTCCACAGAGTTCTTTAGATACCGAATCGCGGTATGCCGGCCCATATTCAGGCGGCCACCATAAGAAAATGTAACAAATCTATCATCATATACAGTTTCAAGAACCATTCGAATGGCTTCAATCACAACTTTAAGCTTCAAATTGGGAAGAACAAGTGAGTTACCTTTGTGGGACGATGGAGGGATGGTAAAGCAGCAAGAATCAATCTTGAATTGGTTAGTTTTGAGCTGGGACGAGAGTTCTTCAAGGGAGAAGAAATGGGCTGAGACTGAATCAAGAGTAATAGACTCGGAGGAATTGGGCTTGAGATTCTGACAAGCTCTGAAGAGGACCGAAGGGCATGCGACGACTTTCTGGAGGAGGTTGTGGAAGTTGCCATGGCTGTAATTGGAGAGAACTAGGGAATTCAGGTCTGGTTTCGTGAGGGGTTTTGCGGGGTTTGGGTTATGAGCAAAGGAAGTCGTTGAAAAATGGATTCTTGGAGAGAATGGGAATGGGAATTTAGCAGTGGAGTGACATCTGGTTATGGAGTTCCTGAAGGTCAGGAGCATTGAACAACAGCACGAGGTATAAAACTGTTTGAAGTATTTTCAATAGTTTTCTTGAAAGTGGTTTTTCTGAGGTTTTTAGTCGTTTGGCTTTTGGGGATTATGGCTGGGTAATTGCTGCGTCAGGTAGGCCAAGGTTGGAACAAAATTAGACCTTTTTAAAAAGAAAACAAATCAATTTTCCAGAATACGTTCGACAAAGAGGTCACGATTCTATTTGACAAATAAGTACATAATTAAATTTGGATTAGTTTTTCATACACTAGTTATACAACAATTTTGTTATACTAATTGCTTTAAGTAACATTAATTTCTAGTCAAATTTGAAATTCTTTTATATGTGTGTGTATGTGTGTGTATATATATATATATTGATATATATATATTGGCATGCATCTCTATATTGTTAGTATAAAAAGTAATAAAAGAAAAATGTATTCAGTAGTTTAGGTCCGTTTGCGTTAAAGAACATATACATTGACAATTACTGTCGTCCCTTTCAAATAATTCTACACAATTACACTTCTAACCATGAGTTAAAAATATTTGCAGCTCAAAAACCAAGCTGTGTAGTTTTCATGTAACCAAATTGTTGTTTGAATGGCATACAAAAATTTTGTATTGCTTGAATTTATCTGTAACCTGCTTCAATTTGCACGAAAAGTTAATAGATTGATCTTTTATCCACGACCCGTTAAGGTTTTGAAACCATTTAAAATGACAATCTTAGTAAAATAATAGGTTTAATATTTATTTTCTAGCACTGTGTATTTCGTGTTATATCTTTTTATCTATAGTTTTGCATTTTGGCTTGAGTTATAGTTTTTTCTTCCATCTTTCTCATGTTTTAAGGATGTTTCTTGTAATTTAAAATGATGAATTAACCCTTTTGGACCATGATGTACTACTTGAATAGATAACATTTTTTTTGTTGTCAATTTTTTTTTTTTTTTTACTTTTATGGAGTATTTGGCCATTTAAGATACTTTTTCTTGGCCTTAAGATGAGTCTTAAATTTTAATAATTCAACAAACTTTCTTAAACAATTTAATTAAAAAAAAGTACAAAATGATTACGAGGTAGATACACATATGCCAGAATCACTATAAAATAGGAAGTGACCATCTTTTAGTTTATTTTGATCCGAACACAATAGGATTTTCCTTCTATAATTCAGTTATCCATTTTACGCAGTTTTTCCTCTTCCAATGTATGACTATATTTTTTTGTTTTTTTTTTTGAAGGATTTTTCCCCCAAAAAAAATTCTTTTCAAGTATTGTTTCTACTAAGTGCTACTTTGAAATCATTAATATCTTTTTTGTTAAATTGTTAGTGTTGACCATTGGTCAAGGGAGGAAAGTGCATAAAAACTAAACATTAAGGAAGAAAGTGCAAATGGCACCAAACCTCAGTGCTTTAAACTCTTTCCTTTCCCTTTTTTTTTTTCTTTTCCATTTTTTGGGTTACATTGCTCGTTAGTACTATTTTATTTTCTTTCCAATTTTCTTGCGCTCTTGAGGCTTCTTCGCAGGAATGGTAAAATTCAAAGAAAATACGATGAAATCCATCACCCGAATTTTGACAAAACCCAATCCCTTAATAGCAAACTCTCTGCTTCAAAACCTTTTCTCCAGGAGCCATCCGAAGCACAGTTCCAGTTCCACTTCAATCAGAAGCATATCTTCATCGGCATATAACTACACCCAATTGGAATCAGTACCAAAGGAGAGCGTTGACTGTGTGGTAATAGGTGCAGGCGTAGTGGGCATAGCAGTGGCCAGAGAGCTTTCTTTAAAACATGGCAGAGAGGTTCTGGTGGTAGAATCTGGCCCAACGTTTGGTACGGGCACTAGCTCCCGCAACAGTGAGGTCATCCATGCTGGCATCTATTATCCCTTCAATTCTCTCAAGGTTCAGTTTTTATTATCAGTGTTAGTTTTGCATAGTAATCCCCAGAGATATGTACGCTGTATTTGTATACATGAGGCGTGAAGGTGATTCTTGAACAATAGGTGCTTACGTTATTGATTTTGAACAGGAAGATTCGTAGATGTGTAGCTTTCCAATTTGTTTCTTTTTTTGTGTGATAAGATGGTGGTGGAATAATGAGTATGAGGTAAACTACACTTTGCTATCCTCACATTCCTGGAGTAATTTTTTTTTTTTAAAATTTGTATCTTGAACGATTAAACGCGATGGAGTTACTGGTTAAGGAAATTAGACGTATATTACGAGCACTAATTCATCAAATTTGCATTTGTTTCTCTGATTCGGTCTCTTGATTGATTTTCAAAGCCACATGCTTTTAGAAGTCTGTGGAAGCTTCTCAAGCTATTGGTGGTCTTTCATCATATTAACACCTGCTGCTTCAATCAAATTTGTAGTTTCTGGAAATGTAGAAGAATTTTCTTGTTATTGTTACTTGCTGTGATCAAGAAGATGGAAAAAGTTTAGGATGTAATAGATGTCAGAGAATTTTATGAGAATTTTGAAATAAATTGGTAAAAAGAGCAGCTTGTAGCTCTGAAACAAGCGTTCCAATAGCAGGAACGAGTTTCTGGCAAATAAAATTGGAAAATTGTATAGTTAAATTTCTATAATGATCCCTAGAGGTTTATATGAATAAAAGATTGTAGTCAAAGCATGTTTATAGCAGAGGAGTCTGTAAACAACGTATGTAGTCCTTTTCAAGGAGAATTTTCTTATATATATGGTATCTATCATGTGAATAAGATTCATTATTTTTGTTAAAGCTTTTCTGCTGCTGGATCCCTTAAAAAGTGAAAAAGAAAAAAAAAAAGGTTATCTTGGAAACTTGAGAGTAATTTGAGCTTTTGTTCAGTTTGTGTAACTTAAAGTCAGTTTCATCATTATCATGTCATTTGATATTTTGAAGAAAGAAGCATAGCAGTTGAAGCATGAAAAGGAAGTGAAAGGTGAAATGTATCAGGAAGTAATTAGGCTGCCATATCATCCTTTAAGTTTATCTTTTGGTGCATGAACTTCTTGCCAAATATGCAAGTTTTCAGATCTTCCTGACTATAAGCTAGCATGTTTTCCTGATAAATTGATCTCAGGGTGCCGTTGCATAGACATACATATGGCTAACTGTAATGCATATCTTGTAGGCACTTTTTTGTGTGAGAGGAAGGAAATTACTTTATAGATATTGCAAAGAACATGAAATTCCTCACGAACAGGTGGGCAAGCTTATAGTTGCTACTAGGTCCTCTGAGATTCCAAAATTGGATGCTTTGCTGAATCGAGGAATTGAGAATGGTGTTGATGGTCTAAGGTTGATGGAAGGGTATGAGGCTATGAAACTGGAGCCAGAGTTGCATTGTGTAAAAGCTTTGTTATCTCCTGCTTCAGGAATAATTGATACTCATTCGCTTATGCTATCCTTAGTGGTATGACATTCTATGTTCTTCCTCTACATTTATTAGAACTCAGATGGATAACAAGATTAATTAGAGATATATTATGTTCATACCTTGTTAGACTAATATTTTGTGGATCCTCTATGTACCTGTTTCGGAGAGTGTAATTTTGTTGTTTCTCTGGTTTACCATTCCAGAGTTATATATATATAGTGACAGGGATCTCATCTCGACTTGGGTTCAGGGGGAAGCTGAAAGTCATGGAACAACTTTCTCTTACAATGCTTCAGTTATTGGTGGTCATCGTGAAGGAAATAAAATCCAACTTCATATTTCTGAAAGCAGTGCTCTTAAGAGTTGGGATGCAAGTAGTCCATTGCATCCAGAGCTTATTCTTAATCCTAAGCTTGTAGTGAACTCTGCTGGCTTGAGTGCCCCAAGTCTTGCAAGACAATTCTGTGGCCTAGATAGTGGGGTTATCCCTACTCCTTACTATGCTCGTGGTTGCTATTTCACCCTATCAAATGTTAAAACTCCACTTTTCCACCACTTGATTTATCCTATGCCTGAGGATGGTGGCCTAGGAGTACATGTTACTCTAGATTTAAATGGCCAAGTCAAATTTGGTCCCGACGTGGAATGGATAGATTGCATAGATGATATTTCAAGCTTCCTGAATTTGTGAGCAATCCTTTTAAGCATATTCTTTCACTCTGTTTATATGGTTGAATTGTTCCTCTATCTCATTGATGACTGGTCACCTATAATTGTGCAGTGTGCTATATAGTTTTAAGAAGTTTCTGAATCATTAATTATAAGTTTTCACTGCAAAAAGAACACTGTCTTGAATACTGAACATCTTCTTTAACATAATACTCTTGAATTATTTGGCATAGCTGGCATGTTCCTTTTTTGAGCATATGGAGCCATGATTTGTATGGAAAATTGGCATGATCTAGTATGTGAAAGTGGAAACGTGTGTTCAACTAGAATGGAAGATATAATAGCCCTTCATAATTTGCGATGAATAGGCATTTAGTTGGTGAATGACATGTTTTCTAGCCGTAGGGAAGACAAGAATTTAGTTTGTGAATGACATGTTTTCTAGCGATTACATGTCCAGAGTTGTTTCCAACCACACAGGTCTTATTCAAATTGATCAGTCTTTTAGCATTTATGAAAATATATGCTAAATGATTTTCAAGTTAAAATCTGCTGTTGTGGTTACTGATGTATAGACACTATTACTCCACATCCAAGTTACTCTTTTTTTGAGCAACCATTTTAGGAAAAGTTTCCTCACCTTAATGGGTTGGGTATCAACCAAGTTTCTTTCTTTTCTTTCTTGTTTTAGCTTTTCCAAAAGATAAGGCTTTTGTGTCTGTGGTCCACAGGCAATGGCAATTTAGTTTTGGATAAAACCTTCTGCCATATGGATGTCTAGAAATGAAACGTAGAAAATAAACCCTACAAGATGAGAACCATGTCCAGAAGCTGAATGAGAAAGTAGGCTAAACTCATTTTGATGGATATCAAAGTGATTGAAATCTCTAAAATTTATAAATCCTTAAGTAGGATCTTACACTGGAAATTGTCCATTTAACAAAGAAACTAGCAGTGCCTTTTATTTGTACCGCTGACATACTGATTCAGCCTTTTCAATTTAGAGTTTTAAGAATGTCATAAGTCAATACAACACGAGCCAAAGCACTTTTTTAGTGGTCAAATATAGGAATTTCTAGTGCGATTTTAATTGTTCAAGTTGCTGCTTGTCAATAAGGATCTTAGTTACCATGTTTGGTCATTATATACATGTTTTGCAGGTTTGATTACTCTGTTTGTAAAGATCGGTCAAAGCAGTTCTACCCAGAAATAAGAAAATACTACCCAAACCTCAAGGATGGATCTCTGGAGCCAGGTTATTCTGGTATCCGACCTAAAGTTTCTGGTCCCAAACAGGTCCCTGCTGATTTTTTAGTACAGGTAATTTCATACTTGTTGCTTTGTGTGTCTAGCTCTACTTTATATTGTCTACTGAACCCTCCTGTATCGGATTAGATGTTATAGAAACATGTTGCTTGGTTGGTCAACTGAAAAAGACTAAGACCTTTGGTGATCCCAATTGGCATGAACTTTGGGATTCGTGTGCTGGGGATTCCTATTTGTCTGCATAGTGCCTGAGTTTTGTTCATTACAAAGTTGTCACAATCTGGAGCAAAAGAAAACAAGAAAAATCTCATTCTCCTAAATTTCATTCTATTTACTGCAAAAAAGTTAGTGTAACGTAACTCTTTTGTTATCTGCAAGATTGTTAGCCATGTAACACTGTATTGTCTCCAAATTTTAAGTTCTTTTTCGTACTTAAATTTGTTTGAACAAGCACTTTTGCAGGGGGAGGACATTCATGGCATCACTGGTCTGGTAAACTTGTTTGGTATTGAGTCTCCTGGACTTACTGCAAGCATGGCTATTGCAGAGGATGTTGCTGCCAAATTGATAACAAACTAAGAGAAGCCTCACTTCAGTGTCAGATATACCACTTTGTGCATACCATGATTTTGGAACCAGCAGAGTTTGTTTTTACCATGATAATCAAGGGTATACTTAGATATGTGCGACTTCTCGCACACATTTAGGTTTATCCGACTTTGTAATATCAAAGACTAATTAATCTGCTGCTCTAAATTCGATTGAAAGTAACGGTCATGTTGGCAGGCTTGTTCGTCTCGCAGAAAACAGGCATATCATTCTTATCAGTGGATTTATGGTCCATCACGGATGGTTGCTGAGCAGGTTTGGCTTGTCATATCCACCAAAAGTGTCCTTTTCCTTTTTGGTCTTGTTCTTGATAGCTTTAGATTTTATAAAATCTAATTATAGAAACTGATTGTGGACAATAATCAAAATCAGCAACAGAATACAAAAGCAATTGAGAACATCATAAAAATTGATTATTCAAAATCAGAATCTATAATCAGGTAAAATAATCAATTGAGAACAAGCCCTTGACTGATTCTACTCAAGAAGCACTAAGATGAATGAAGAAAAAACTTAGATTATTTAATTTTGGTTTATGACACTTTTTCCTCAAGAATGGGTATGTTTACTAAAGGACAATGGACGGAGGAAGCACTTGCCAATTTCTAAATTCACGTATAAGCCCCTCAAGCAGCTTACTACAATACGTGGAAATATAGTTGCAAAGAACTTTTGAGCTTCTAATAATTAGCATAACACATTTACTCAATATAACAAGAACGACAATAATGGCAAGACAACTTGGCAATTCAAAATTACCCATGTTAAACCCAGCAGACACAGCCCCAGACTTTCCAAAAATTGTTGAGGACAACTCCAATGGCCAAATAAAATTGTTGAGGACAACTCCAATGGCCAAAACATTTGCCAGTGCAATATTTTTTCGGCAGTCTGTAAAACTGTTACGGAGGAGTTAATTCTAATCCTCTTCAACTAGGCTTTTTGTCTGAGCGCTATAATCCCGAACATATAAATCCTAATAGAAGATAAAAAGACAAAAGACCAAAAAAAAAAGGACCGAATACCAAACATTAACAAGTTTTTAAAGACTCAGGTCATTGAGCATAGATATGGTGGAGCTTTATCAGTAGCAATTTTTTGATACAGCACAGAACAAAGTATGCTCTTAAAAGACCAATTGATAATACACAAAAGATCCTGAAAAGCTGGATGATTTCTACACCACCTTTAAACATCCAATCAAGCAGCCAAATATCCTCACTCATTCATTAACCTTATGTAAGCATTTGCATGTCTAAGCAGCAGCTGGAAAGAACAGAATTGCAAACTGCAATAATGAACAACATCTCGCAAAACTGCAGGTCTGTCAGAAGTACTCACATCCAGAATGATTTGTACAGCCTGGCTAAACAGCTCTTTGACAGGGTCATCATCATCAGTCCTAATTTCATGAGATATACAAGCTTGGCCTCTTCAGCGTTTTCTTTCAGCACGCCACTTGTACACTGGTTTGCTGGTTGGACAGACTATCTCATCTTCACGAAGTTTCCGCTTCCTACCCTTTTTCTGCTCAAACATTAGGATTGGTCTCACAATAAAGCAGAAAAGGACAAAAACAGTAAGAGGAACCAAATGCAAGGTTATAAGACCATACCTGTAATTCCTTTTTCAAGGCCATGTCCATGTACAATTTCTCTAAATCATTAACTCTGCTTTTTCTTGCCTCCAATTCCCGATAAGAAGCAGCTGTCTTCCTGCATACCAAGAATGTCAATAGGGAGAAATTATCAGAGAAAACACAATCATGGACTAACTTCTTGAAATACAGATTGAGCTAGAAGATAAAGCAATTCATATAATAGACCAAGCAGCGAACTCCCCCAATTGAAATATTTAAAGATGGAGTGGCAGCAAAGACAATGATTCTAGAAACGAGAAATTGCAGTACTTCCTGCCTTCAATCCCAGTAAAAAAGTCCAAAATTTAACAAACAAAGCAACAATATCTCAACCAACTCAATGGCCCAATACATGATGCTTAATGAGCAACCAGTCATCAACAGTGAGACTCAAAGCCCATGTATAACTTAAAAATCTCTAAAACTGACTATTTATACTGCACCAAAGATCAGAATGAGATGACTAACACAATAGAAAGGCTCTTAGACCGACTATTGCACAGGGAAGGCATTGTTGAGGAAGAAGCCAATTTCCGTTGTGTAAATGTCTCAGTTGGAGAAGCTATCTTCCAGGCTTTCACTCTTTTAGACTTCATGCATCTCCTTCCCAACAACAGGTAGGCCTTTTCTGTTTTCTTTACTCCCACCCAGCAAATTTACCCAATTATTTTTTCAGGAAAACTACTTTTGATAAGTTAATACTCTACCTCTAATATGAAAAAAGCGCGTGATCAAATCCATGGCAATGTGGCAGCTCATGTCCAACGCGCCTTTAAATTCTCTTTATTAAACGAAAAAATAACTCATTTTCCCAACTAGCTCACTACTTTAAACTCTATCAGATTATCGGTAGTCAACGTCACTGACGCAACTCGCACCTAATTTAGCAAAGGGCTTAAATAAATAATTCAATTTAGGGGCTTATTTATAAATTTTTCACACTAAGAGATCAAAAGTTTATTCTAAGCAAAGTTTAGCCTCGCAAGAAGACACTCAATTTGTTGTTCTAGAAGGAAGCAAATCCAATTGAATTATAATATTTACAAAAAGCAGATGAACTGCAGGCAGAAATAATAATCTGAAGAAATCAGCTTGATAAAATATTTTACCGCTTCACATGATCGGGCAAATTCTCATCAATAGACACTTGTGTATGTGCAGACTTTTTCAACTGCAACTCATTTGCCTCTTCCCTGTCAAAGAAAGAAAGCCCCAAGACATTGGAATTCATGTTTTAAAGAAAGTTTACTTGCATATACATTTTCTTTTACACATTCATGTAAATTGCATTAAAATCACCTACAGCACTAGCCGGAGAAGCATAGATAGAAGAGCAATTGCTAACCTATCTTCAGCATAGTACACATGACCCTTTGATGACCGATTATCCAGCGAATGTAATATTGCGGCGTGTTTTTCAATTTTCTGCACCAAAAATTCAACTTTTTCAATACATGCAATGCATAAGCACAAGAGCACTATGAACAAATAAAATTTCACCATTAAAATACGAAACCTTTTTCTCACTCTGAATTTTCTGCATAATGTAGCCCATATCTTGGGTTTTCATCAACAGAAGCTCCTCAAGAGTATACTTATTAGCCTCGCTCCTTCAAAAGCCATTTACAAGTCAAATTTTGTCACACACAAAGAATCCCCAAAAAAAATTGTACTAATGATAATAAATGTACAATCAGTGGAGTCAATGCATCACTTACTCAGTCCTATGAACTCCACCAACAGTTCTTGTTTTGACCATCTTAAAGTAGAATTCATCTGGGTTCCTAAATGCTGCTTTTTCTTTGAGTTTCTGTTATTCCAGAAAGGAAAAGAAAAGAAAAACAAAACCACCTCAGATCATAAAGCTACAAAGTCACTCAATCGTCCAATGCTCAATCAGCAATAACCAAACACACAATTCCATTTCACCCACGTTTAAAATGTCAAATTTGTGTAATAAACATATATATATATATATATATATATATATATATATAGAATGGCTGTTGGAGTCTACATATGCAGCTTCCATACACCTAAGATTTAGGACCAACGTCCAAATCCTGTAAAATGGTACACAAGGACACTGTTCTTGTACACCTTTAACTGAATCATGTAGGCAAATTCTTCCACAATTTGACAACTCAAATGGTAAAGCCACAAATTGCAAACCAGATTCCATACAATCTGAAGTTGTATACCTGTAAAGCTTGCTCCTTTTTATGGTAAGCCTTGGCTCGAACAACATAATCCTTGTGCTTTTCAAGAAGCCCAAATTTTTTCCTAGCTTCCCTGCAACATATTCATAAACATTACTCCGCAAATTACACAATCATAAGAAAATCCCAAAAAAAAAGAACGAAAAAATTAGCACCGAAATAGGATTGAAAGTACTTACGGCTGGGCCCGTTCTTTGTGAGCTCTCCGCGGAAGCGCATTCCTCAGAGACGACATCTTTAATTGCTAATTAAGAATAAAAAATATTGGATGAAACCCTAATTTGTTAGCTCGTGCCTTACTTAATTGCTGGCTTCAATCGAATTCGACAAGTAAAACCCTAATTCGATATTTTAGGGTTTTTGTTTTACTTCCACCTAGCCTGAATGAAGCGAAGCTGCAGCTCCTATGGCGGTGATTGGAAGTTTGGAGAGTGTCTCATTCATTGGGCTTAACCTCTTAGTTATTGGGCTGGTTAGTTGGGCTTCATTATTTTTTGTGGTGCATTTTGTTAATACATCAGGAGTTTTTTTTATACCTCTCTGTTTTTTTTTTTTTTCGCAAGTTAAAGGTTTTAAATTTGATACCTCTTAGTTATAATTTTTTCCATTTTACCAACAAACGTCCCCCCCCCCCAACATATCAAGAGTTTTCTTTCCTATTATTCCGGCTTTTTTTTAATTAATTGAGTAGAGGATGTATATGATGTTAATCAATAGGAAACTTTTTGAAGGATGATAGTGTCTCAAATTTGATAATCAATGTTAATTTAATTATTTAGACAGAGTCAGAACTCAATTTAATTAAAGTTATCATATAGTACGGTGATGGTTTTATTAAGGAGATTAAATTTTAATAATTGATTGATTTAATAGGTAATATTCTAAAAAAATCATCATTTCCATTTTTTTTTTTTTTGTTGATAAGAAAATCTACAACCACTACCCGAGAGTACGCACTAGGTAAATAAACAAAAAAAATCCAAAATTTCATATTTGTGGTGATCTGCTCCTTTTCTTTAGGCCCGGATCTAATAGTTTTGATGAGCTTATTTATTCTTATTTATTTCTATACTCCTCTGGGCAGCAATGATACTTGAAATCTGATTAATAGGCACAAGACAACTATTACGAATTTGAAAATTCTATTCACGAAGATGACAAGCAAACGAGTTCAATGGTAAAAAAAAAAAAGGTTCACAGTTTAAAACTTATATTCATCAATTTGCAAGTTGCAGCATCAATATGGTTGGCGGTCTAAAACCATACTTGAGCCCAAGTTAAAAGATGAATGCGGGCCTGCATCATAATTTGAAATCCAATTAAAGCAATATTTGGAATAAAGGGGATTCAATCCAAACCCTTCAATTTTAAATCCATGCCTTTGATGATGATGATGATTTATTTGAAATATTAT